GGGGAGAGCAGAGGGTCCTTATCTGCCTGGGATGGGGTGGGGTGGGGTGGGGTGGGGTCTGTAGTCTCACCCTCCACTCCACCATCAACCACCACTTGCCTCTCTCCCTGCAGCCAAGGAGATCCAGCTGATGCACCGAGCGCCCGTGGTGGGCATCCTGGTGCTGGATGGACATAGCGTCCCCCTTCCTGAGCCCCTGGAGGTGGCCCATGACCTGTCAAAGAGCCCAGACATGCAGGGAAGCCACCAGCTGCTTGTGGTGTCAGAAGAACAGTTCAAGGTGTTGCTTGGATGGAGGCGGGGCTCCCTGGGGATCCCTGGGACATCTGGGGAGTGCAGATCCTGGGCACAAATGACAGTGGCCGGGATTCACTTAAAGTTGTATTTGCAGCTGGTGTGTGACAGACTACCGAGGCACTGAAAAGGAGAGGGGTAGAGATCCTGGGTCCCGGGGTCAGCATGGGGGCACTGAAGCAGGACCTGTGTCAATAGGGGGGACGGAAAACAGAGACATGGAAATAAGTAGCCCTGGTGTCCCTTCCCGGTCAAAGCATAGTGGCCGCATGTCCGAGTACTGAGCGGGCACAGAGACTGGGCAGTCATTGCTGGGGAGTAGGGCCCTGTGACGGCACCAGGCACGGAAGCCATGGGTGTGAGCCGTGCCCTGTGCCCCCAGGTGTTCACGCTGCCCAAGGTGAGCGCCAAGCTGAAGCTGAAGCTGACCGCTCTGGAGGGCTCGCGGGTGCGGCGGGTCAGCGTGGCCCACTTCGGCAGCTGTCGAGCCGAGGACTACGGGGAGCATCACCTGACTGTCCTCACCAACCTGGGTGATGTCCAGGTGGTCTCGCTGCCCCTGCTCAAGCCCCAGGTTCGGTACAGCTGCATCCGCCGGGAGGATGTTAGCGGCATTGCCTCTTGCGTCTTCACCAAATACGGCCAAGGTGGGCACAGCGGGGGCGGGCAGGCGGGTGCGAGCAGCCGGGCCCCCGGGGGTGGGGCGGGGTGGGGACTCCCGCTGCGCTGCCAGGGGCTGCTGGGAAGGGCAGCTTGGGGTGTTGCAGCCGAGGCCAGGCTGGACTGACTGACTTCAGAGAACTTTTGAGGGAGGCCCCCGGCCCCTCGTTCCTCCTGGGAGGAAAGTCCCGTCAGCCGCTGCAGGGCCTGGGAGCTGTGGGCTGGCCTCACCTCCAGGCTTCTCCTTCCCCCCCCAGGATTCTACCTGATCTCACCCTCAGAGTTTGAGCGCTTCTCTCTCTCCACCAAGTGGCTGGTTGAGCCCCGGTGTCTGGTGGATTCAGCAGAAACCAAGAGCCACAGCTGCCCCCGCAATGGATCAGGCCCAGAGAAGGTCTCAGGCCAAGCCAGGTCGGTAAAAGGACAGGTGGCCTTTGCCCTGGCCCCTCTCCTCTGAGCTAAGCCCACCCTCCTGGCTCTGGCTCGCTGCCCCCCCTTCATATGCCCCTCCCTCTCATGGAAGCTGCCATCCAGGGCAGAGCTTGGTTTATCACCCTGGCTCAAGGTGGGCCAGGTTAGTTGACCTCATTCTTCATGGGATCAGGGCTTTCTGAGCCAGAATGGGGAGCCCAGAGACTCCCAGTCCTCACCATCTCTCTCCCCACAGGAACTCAGGGAGCCAGAGTGATGGAGAGGGTAAGACAGGGTTCCCTGTGCCCAGGGGTGGGGGTGGGGGACAGATACATTGTGATACTTAGGCCCAGACCCAGACCGAAGGGGAAGAAAGGGAACCCCAGGCCAGCAGGTGGTATTGGGGCTAAGAGTAGAGACGGCATCGCTTCCAGTCCTGGGTTCTGGGTTCCGGCACTGCCACTCTAGTAAGGAGGGAGCTGGGGCAGAGGAGGTCTCAGGGTTCACCTGACCTGGCCCCTGCCTTTCAGAGAGGAGGCCTGGCCCGGTGATGGAGCACGCTCTGCTCAATGATGAGAGTGAGTTGGGCAGGACTCGGTGGGCCGTCATGAGGGATGTCCTGAGGGAGGCTTGGAAAGCCAGGGTGGAACCGAGGGCCATTACTCTGAGGGAGGCAGACCTGTCCGACACTCCACCAGTAAAAGGGGGAGAAACATTTGTGTCTGGCCCGGCCTCTGCCGGCCTCAGCAGGCCTCTTCCCCAACCCTGCAGGGGTCCTGAAGGAGATTCAGAGCACACTGGAGGGAGACCGAGGGTGAGTTCCTGCTCGGGCCTGCAGGGGTGGGCCCTGAGGTGCCAGGAGTTCTCTGGGAATAAGGGTCCTCGTCTGGTCTCCCCGAGGTCCCCACGGATGGTAACTGCCCTGTCTTTGCCCGTGCAGGAGCTATGGCGACTGGCGATCTCAGCGAGTGGCCACGGGTTACAGCCTCAGCAATGGGGGAGGTAGGGGCTCTGGGCACCGCTGCAGGGCTGGGGGGCGGCCGGGAGGGTATGCCTCCTAGTTGGGGAGGAATAGGAGAATGAGCCCACACACGCCCCTGGGTGGGGGACTGAGGCCCCCCGGCCTGCCCAGGAGGCCCCCGAATTGCCACTGCTCTGTGTCCTTCCACAGCAGAGTGAGCAGGTCGCAGGTCCAGGCTACGCAATGAACACACACTACTGAGGGCGCTTCCTGGGGCGCTGCCCCCCGGCCCCGGGAGGCCCATGAACTGGGCTGTGCCAGGGACTGGAGCCAACCCCGGTGTGCACCCTGCTGCTGCTCTTGGCCTCGGAGAGGAGGGACCCCAGGGCCGTGGGGCTGCCCCACCTGGGCCTTGTCTGTCTTGGTTCTTTTGTCAATGTTGCACAGTTTTTTTTTCCCTCCCCTTTTTGTAGTGGGCTGGGTTTTAAATTATAAATTTTAACTGCCTCTGGGTGAAAAAGTTTTTAATAAACACCTTATTACCTCTTCACTGGACTGGTCCAATGACTGACTTTTTTAATTGTGCAGAAATTTTCTACGTAGACAGAAATGATTGGTAGCCGGTCCCTTGCCTTTGCCCCTGGGGTCCAGTTGCTGGACCAGGCTGGTACTCCGGAGAGTTAGTTTTTTAAGCTGTTGAGTCAGAGCAAACTGTGTCTGTTCGTATCTGAACACTATGTCTTCTGTCTTTGGAAACGAACGGCCAGAGTTAACCACCCTGAGGGTACATGGCTGCATCCCAGGGTCGGGGGCAGAGGGAGTCCCCTTTGACCGGCCTTTGCTTGCTGTCAGAAGGGGGAGACACTCATAGTACCTCAGACCTGGTGGCTTCTTCCAGACTTCAGGGAAGGACTGTGGGGTGCTGCTGAGGTCAGAGGCAGTTCCCAGAAGTGAAAGCTCTTACCCCCAGATGAGGGGTTGGATCAGACCAATGTTACGGTCTTTATAAGCCAGGGGGTTGAGTCTACTTGATTCTACTTCATCCACCTGTCTTTGTTGAGTACCTATTATATGCCAGGCGCTTGGGGTCAGAGGTGGCCAAGATAATGTGGTCCCTGCCCTCTGAGGCTCACAATACTAACAAGGGCAGGAAATCTTAGGATGCAGACAAGCCGGGGGCCTGTGAGAGATGTGCCTGGGAAGGTGACATTAAGCTGGGGCAGGGACATGACCAGGAATGGGCTGGGTGCTCCGTTCTACACAGAGGATAGAGGGGCAGGCAGCACTTGAACTGGTTGCCCTGCTGTGGGATTGTGTTAAGAGTTGAGGGTAGCTGGCAGGAAGTGTGCCAAAAATGAGACCACCAAGTGGCCGGGGCCAGACTGGGACCTCCTAGAACCTGGCGAGGGTAAGGGCACTGCTATGTGCCACAGGAGCCCACGTGGCCTGTTGGAAGGACATGGATTAGCGCACAGGGCAGAGGAGGAGTCCAGGCCCAGGTCCCTAGATGGATACGCCATGGGAGAGCCTACCCATCACCCTCCCGCCAAGCATGTGCAGCTCAAGAATCTGGGTTGTGTAACTTGGGCCACTCCAGCTCTCCTGTTCTCCTTAGAAGTGGGGGTGAGGGTGGCACTTACTGAGACAGAACTCCCAAAAGCCACAAGGAAGGGGGAATAGTTGCCCCAAAGGGAAGAGGAACACAGACCATGGTCGCAGAAGCAGTGGAGAAGGGATGCTCGGTAGATAAAAAGACAAAGCTACAGACAGTGGGGAGTGCTGTGTACCCTGCAAGATGGTCTGGACTTGATCCTGAGACTCTGGAAGCATCTGAAGGGCTTTGAGCACAGAAGTTCCATTATGAAGTTCATTCTTCCGAAGACCACTGTAGTTTAAATCCCAGCAAGTTCCACTCGTGTGACACGCACATTGCCTTCCTGTTCTGCATCCCAGTTTTTTCTGGGGGAACGGGATGATAAGAGTATCCCCTCACGATCTGTTGCGAGGTTCACGGGAGTCCACGAGGTTCAGGGTTTCGTGATGGGGGTGACCCTCTGTCAGGGTCAGGGAGAACATGTTAGAATGCACAGGATCTTTATTTTTATCATAAAAGAAATTAAGCCTTGTGAATATCCTGGACTGGCACTCGGTCCTCAGTCTTTCTGGAGAGCTGGACAGCTACACACACACACACACACAAGTATCAAGACTCTGAAAATGGATTTACCTCTGCCCTCATTCAGGATGAGCATTGCCTTAAGTACTTTGGGCTACAAAGTATTAACTCGTGTTGGTGGTTCGCCTGTTTTGGTTCTAGGAAAATATTCTATTGGGAGTGTGAGATCAACAATTTTTATTGATAGGTGTGCACAAGTGGAAGAGTTTGGCACTGTCTAGAAAGTGGATTAATGGAAGCTCAGCCAGCATGGAGGGAGGTTGGAGGGTCCTGCCCCTTCTGTCCAGGGGAAGGTGGCCATAGTGGCTAAATGGAGATACTGAGGGGTTGGGTTGACCAGGGCCACTGCCAGATGGAGAAGGTGAGTGGCAGAGGTCACTGCTGACACCAAGGGCCCTGCCGATGTACCACAGGCAGCTGGGCACATGATCTGCAGACTTGGATCTGAGGGTCTTCAACATCGACAGGTGGGAGACTTAAGTGTTCACTTAGACTTGGAAGTCAGGCAGACCCAGTCCTCAAACACTGGCTTCACCTGTGACCGACTGTGTGACCTTGGGCAGATGACCTCACTCTTGTGCTCTAGTTTACTTACCTATAAAACAGGGCATAATCATAGGGCCTGCCTCAGAGGGTGGTAAGGATTAAATGAGAGTCTGTAAAATCGCTCGGCGCCTTAACACCCAACCAAAGGAGGTGAAAGTTACCAAGTTATGGTGGCTGGTGGTAGGGGCCAGGAGAGGAGGAGACGGTTCCCGAGGGAGGGAGGGAGGGAGAGTGGAGCATGGTCAGAGGAGGACTCACACAGACTGGAGGAGCAAAGCAGGTGAAGGAAAGAATGGGGAAAGTGGGAGCCAGAGGTGAAAGCTGGGCTTGGAGGGAGAGTCCCCTCTCCCTGGGAGGCTCTGGGAAGACAGCTGGCCACACCCACGCAACTGAGTGAGCTACAGGCCCCGGCCTGGATCAATAGGGTAGAGAGGAGGGCACCAGGAAGGCAAGAGATTGGAGATACATCAGATACGTTGTAATGGGCCAACGAAAGTCAAGTTTACTGCTGATGGTAGCCCCTCACACCTGTTCTCCAGCGGGCCTTGGGAGCCAGACTGCCCGGGTTGGCGTCCCACCTCTGACCACCACTGACACTTGGCTGTGTGCCTCAGTCGCATCAGCCATAAAACGGGAATCCTTAGGGCACCCACCTCTTAGCATGCTTCCAAGAATTAAATGACTCCATAGTAAAGTGTTTAAAACAGTGGCTGGCATATAATAAGCCCGGAAGTGTTAGCTCTTTGCTGATACTATTGAGGCCAAGGGGACGAAGGAAGGAGAGTGGGTATCCCTTAGAGTCCCCAGGATGATGGTCCAGACAGGCTCATTGAAAGGGGGGCAAACAGTGAAAGGGGAGCAGAGCACGTGGGTCCCTGCAGCTTGGCACAGTGCCAGGCTGGCCTGGCTGGCAGTGCCTCCCAGGTGGCACAGTTGCCCCGTCCTCGGCCTTTGATGCTGAAGCGTCTCCTCTTTCCTGGGCGGCCTCCACTCCTTTGTTGGTCTAAGGGGTCAGGACCCCGCGGCCAACTGCATAATTAATGCTCTTGAGTAAGGCTGGAGCCCCCAGGGGGTAGACTGCCTGTAGAGCCAGAGCAGAACGGGTGTGGGCGCTGCCAAGAGCTGAGGGCACTGCGGGCTAAGGTCTTCAGGGCGAGGACAGAGACCCCGAGAAGCCCCTCTTCACTGGGCCCGCCATGGGTGGGAGCAAAGGTAAAGCGTCCCAGCGCCAGGAGGGCCCCAGGAGGCCGGTCTCAGGGGAGCAGGAGTCCCGGTCGGGCAGCGCCCACTGCGCGCCCAGCCAGGAAGGCGGACAGGGTCTCGGTAAGGCCCGAAGGACCAGACCGGTCTTGGAACCGGTCACTGCGGGAAGCCACAGGACCCACGCTGGCCGCCGGAAGCCCACCGCAGAGCGGAACGGCGGCTGCAGACGGTCAGGGGCTGGGCCGCCAGCAGAGGCCCAGGGGAGACTAGGCAGTGCGCGGCGTCCGGGTCGCGGATCTAAGGAGAGCCGCGAGCCCCGGGAGGACCGTGGCGGGCGCCTGGAGGAAGAGAGTCTCTCCCGAGAAGGGACAACGAGTGAGCTCTGCCGCCGCAGGAGGAGAGGAAAAGGGCGGGGACCCTCGGCTCGGCAGGGTTGCCGGGAGACTCGGAGCCTGCATGGGGACACGTCGGGTGGAGACGGGGGCAGCTCTTGCCCGGACAGCGAAACCCGCGAGGCCCAGGAGAGCGACAGCCAGAGCACTGGGGCCCCAGAGCTGCGACCCAAGCCGGAGCAAAAGGACACGGTCCTGGGAGACACCCAAACCGAGTCGGAGCCAGAGCTGGAACCCGGCGAACGCCCCAGCAGCGACGGCGGGGGCAGCGCTGAACCCCGGAGCCGGGAAGGGTCGTCGGGGGTGGGACCCCAGGGAGAGAAGGAGGATTCCGGGACAGTCACGGAATCGAGTCTGGAGGGGGCCGGACCTGGAGGGGGCCCACGGACAGCCCCAGGAACGGCGAGCCAAGCCACCGAAGCCGAAGAGACTAGGCCGGGCAAAAAACCCAAGGCCCCCAGCCCCCTTGAGGGCAGCCCAGAGTGCGTCTCCCGGAGCTCGAGGGCTTCTCGGGACCCCAGGCTGGCCCGGGACACAAGAAACAGCGAGGCGCGGCCGGAGGCTGAGTCGCAGGGCGCCGAGCCGGGAAGAGCCGAGGCCTCCGGGACTCGGCGCCTCCAGGTCGGAAAGGCGGTGGGGGAGGTGCAAGTGGCGGCAGGTGAGAGCGAATCTGGGGCTGGAGGGGGAGACGGGCCCCGGGACCCAGCGCCGCTGGCCGCCCTCGTGGCGCTCCGCAGGCTCCGCGCGAAATCCCCGGCAGGCCCCGCTCCCCAGGCCGCCGCTTCGGCTCCCCGCCGCGCCGGCCTTAGAGAGCGGCTGCGGCGCGTGGCGCGCGCCCTGGGTCTGCTGCGGTGGC